AATGGCCAAGCGTAGGAATTGTTTTTTTTTTCAGGTGTAAAGAAGGATTTGTGGATGTATCGCCAAATATCAAAGTTTTTGCTGGATTAGAATGTCGTGCATTAGTTGATGAATGCGCATCGAAGACTCTGAACACATGCCATGAGCATGCGATTTGCATTGGTTGGTTTACACGGTCTTCGGGAGAAATTTCCTTTTTCGTATCATCTTCTTCAAAAAATGTGTATTTTCAACCCCATACGTAAGATTTTTAATAGTTGATATTTCCCTATCCCGCTTGTAAACGTAGATTTCCTCTGGATTTATTGAGAGGCGATGTGTTTAACTTTTTGCGGATTAAAATATTTTTAGACACTCGCGATGCATACAAATGCCAATGTAAGGAGGGCTACGTTGATCATGATGAGCTGAGAAATCCAGGAAGAGACTGCAGAAAAAGTAAGCTGTAACCAAATTTCAACATATATGCAGAATGCTACGAAGTTTTATACTGAAAGGCTTCCATTCCTATAATAAGGTGATAAAAATAGGATCAGGTAATTAGCATCGATTTCAGCAAAACCTTTCAGTTTAAAAGGATTACTGTAATTCAGGTTATAAATTTGAACTTTGTCGAAAAAATATACAACCGTTGACAGCGCTTATTTCTTATAAAGTTTTTCTTCTCAAATTAATAGAACCCTAGTTCAACTTTATGTTTTTAACTGCAGTAAACCAACTCTGCGAATCTGGTCGTCATGATTGTGACAAGAACGCCCAGTGTATCGAACGTGGAACCAACGACTACGAATGCGTTTGTAAACCAGGATTCCTGGATCGAAGCCCGCTACCTCATAGACCTGGTGGGTTTATAAATGTGCTGTTCATAAATTTGAACTTGAGACCTTACATCTTGTTTGAACTTAGTTTTCACTCATCTCCCTATAAAATTGTTGCATTGAAAATTTGATTGTGATGACTTCGTAAATTTCAAAATTAACATACACTAATTTGTGAGATTTATTTACCGAAATCACTTAATGAGCACCGAAATCGGATTTTTTAAAAACTTTTACGCTACTATCCTATGTTGTAGCTGTCAATTAGTTTTTTTTATTGCAAAAAAGAGATTCAACAAAATTCTTA